CGACATCAGATTTAAGCAGCCCGGAAAGTACCCCTTCAAGTGCGTACCCTCATAACCCTTATAGTATCGTTACAGTCTACTTGTGGTATCCCCTTATTGCCCTTCTGGTAGCCCACACGGTACCCTTATTGTAACCCTGATACAGGAGCTCCCGCCGAAAACGAGCCTCTGATCCACTGGCAACCGAAGCGCCTGAGCTGTCGGTGCTCCACTCCCGAAACCCAAAGCCCGACAAGCCGCAACTTGCGAAAGCTGAAGAATCTCCCTCTGTGAAACCCTTATAGAAACACAGGCGGTATTCATGATAACAATACCGAGCACCTTCTAGTACATCTCGTAAAATAGTAGCATCACGAATAAGAAAAGGATCTCCTTTGATTTCCATGGTCATAGCTGGGCCCCTGGCTGCTCCCTCTCTGCTTCCTGGGTGGAGGGGCACCGGGGGGCGGAGGATCTTGGCAGGATTTTAGGGTTCGGGGCTCTGAGTTGCAGAAGTGGCTGTTGTCTTAGGGTCTTGGGTGCTACGGAAGTAGGGGCTTTGGATAAGTTTCAGTCAGAAGCTCACTCCACGTCAGCCTTCATGCTTATGCAATCGTAGTACTACGCCTCAGCGCTCCCAGAGGACTAGGAGCTCACTGCACTGGGGTCGCGGCAGCATGGAGGGCAACTTGAAGACGGTCTGCCAGGGAAGCTTTGGGCTCGGAGTTTAGGTTTTATAGGGCTTGGGGTTTTATTGCTTTGGAGCTGCAAGGCTTTCGGGTTCAGGTTTGGGCTTCGTCCGGCTTCCGGCAGGGCAAGAGTTCTAGGCAAAGGGCGCTTCGTAATCGCGAAGGCTATGGACTGCAGGCGGCTGCGGGCCCGGGATGAAGAGCTGCCCGCCTTCATGGAGGAGAAGTAGCCTCGGAGAGCATGGGGTTTTTGCCCCTTTCTTAAGCCGCGAGTCTACTTGAGAAGCAGGAAACGAAACTCGATGTGGTAGGCATGGTCTCCGCTGTCGCCACTGACTCCGCCGTCACTGGCTTTCGCGCGCGCGCGCGCACGCGTTATCATGGTTGGCATCAGGGAGTGCTCATGTTCACGGAGGTGGCAACCATTCATCATCGCCGTTACCAGCACCAGCAGCAGCAGAGGCAGCAGCAGCGGCTGCGTCAAAAACTGTCAAGTATCAAAGGCCACTAGTCGCAACCCTGTTTGCACGCCCCGCAGAGACGCGCCGTAAAGGCCGGGAAGCGCCAACTCTAGTGCCTGAACACAGTCAAAGCATAGAGCCTCCAGGCCCCAGGTTGGAGCTCACTTTGCCTTTTTTTGGGGCTCCATCACAAAGGCTGAACCCTAGCGCAGCTCGGGTCCAAAAGTTCCGGCCACTTGACTTGCCCGCAGCCCCTTTCCCGAACCCCAAAACCCGCCATGTATCCATCCAAGGGTTCGGCCCTTCTTCCTGGTGAAGCTCTCTCTTCGGTCCACCTCCATCTCCCCTGACCTGATATATGAAGGCTGCAGACAACGGAGCTGAGGAGGGCTTCAGGACCTCTGGCTTTCTGGCTCTCCACCTTTAGGGATAGGGCTCCTTAGCGCAGTTAGCGGGCTCAAAAGCCAATGCCTACAAATTCCGCGCCTTTGGATGCTGTGCAAAAAGCCTACCGGAACAAGCCTTCCGAGATCTCCTTGCGATGCCACATCTCTACTTTCAGGCGCACACACCCCCCAAAGCGAAATCCGTAACCCCTGAACCACCAAACCTGAACGAACGCAAACATCACAAACCCTCAACCCAATAACTTAAGACGGGCAGACTCGACGGCCCCGGCCCTGCGGCAGATGAGTTAAGTAGCGGGTCTAGACAGCTTAGGCTTTAAAACTCGGATTTAAAGTGCGGGTTTACGGCTTGGCATTGACAGCTTCTTTGCTTAAGGCTCGGGTGTTAATGATTTGAGTTCTGGGAAGGATTGCAGGAAGCATGCGGAGGGCTTGTTGTCAAGCTCTCCGAGTACGGATTATGAGTAAGGCTTAGTAAGGACTATGAGAGGATACTATTGCTGACTATTCTCACCTGCATCTGCGTGGCAGCTTCATTCTTCATGATCATCCTGCTGACGCCGACAGTCTTCAAAAGCTGAGGCTCTGCCAGACCCTACCAGCCCAACTGGCAATCGAACTGAAATCGGAACACTGAACCCTAAGCCTCAAGCCCCAAACCCGAAACCCCGAACCGGACCCGCTGGACCCCCCCCCCCACCTTGAGCCAGGGCCCACAGAACCCAAGAAAAGAGGAGAAGGGATGTAGGGGTCACGCTTCATGGCTTATTTTCCGGGCCCTCTAGGGCTCTAGGGTTCTAGGGCTCTAGCGTTTAGGAATTTCGGGGGTTCAGGCTTTAGGAGTTCTCGGATTCTAGGCGCTACGGGGCCTCCTTGCCAGATCCTTCAAGGCGAGGCTGAGGTTCTCCTCGATGGACTCCTGCATTCGCCTTGGGCTCTGGGGGTCTGGGGGGTCTCAGCAGTTTGGGAATGTAAGGGGCTTTAGGAGTTGGGGCTTTAGGCTTTGGGGCTTTGGGGGTGCAGAGGTTTAGGGGCTTGGGGTCTACGTCGAGTGAAGGGCCTTGAGTTGAGGGGGGTAGGGGTGTGGGATTTTTTGAGGTCAGGATGTGAGATTTCGGGCTCAGTGGAGTAAGACATAGGGGTTCAAGGTCTACGGAGTTTAAAACATTAAGTTACAGGGCTCAAAACCGCTTAGCCGTAGTCGTCGTGCTTTGGAGCTTCAGGGAGTTGTGTGGAAGCTTTCAGGGGTTGGGGTTTAGGGTTTCGGGTTTAGTGCTCCAACCCTGAAGCCCTTAAGCCCCACATTCCCTGTCCTCCTTCCTTAAGCTCCAGATTTCCCATTCCCTACACTCAAACTCCTCAAACCCTTAACCCAGAGCTTCCCTTGCCTTTAGAACCCCAGGAACCGACAGGACAACCCCAAAATCCGACAAAACTACCTGGAAGCCAGTCCCAAAGAACGATAAGAGGAAGATGGCCCCGAGTCCCGACCCTACACCCGAAACAACATTCCCACGTCTACCACACCAACGAGCTGACAGCCTAAACCCCGGAAATCTTCAATCCCAAAAGGCCCCTTAAACAACAAACGAATACAACCCATAGTACCGAGGCCGGCACTTGGAGTCCTGCATCCAGAGATGCTGCAGGATGCGCCCGCAGTTCCAGACCTGAGAGGATTCTTAGGTTTGGGGTTTAGGGTTTAGGGTTCAGGGGCTGCCAAGGCGGTTTAGGGCTTCAGGGTTTTGGGGTTTAGCACCTGAAAGTTCGGATTTGCGGAGCGTTTGGCAGCAGCTTAAAAGAGTGCTTCGCGGTTTCCCAGAGGGAGGTCCCTCTAGGGTTCTAGGAAGGTGCTGAACCCCAGAAAGGCTCGGGAAACATGTTGACACAGGAAACCGCAAACGTTGGTGCGCTGTGCTGCTGTTGCGTATTGGCTCCAGTGCAATCTGCTTCGCCCACGAGACTGCATCCCCTGCCCTCCACCTTCAGTGTGGATTCAGCTTCTCTTCCAAACCAGCTCATGCGCCCTCCTCGCAAATGGACCCGAAACCGCCTGCCTCTATATCGAATCCAAGGGCCCGGCAATCCAGAAGAAGACCGGGAAGGAAAAGCTAATGACGAAGCCGGACCAGGAAGAGTTGAAGTTCGTCATCACCTCGAGCTGTCAGGCTTCAGGCTCGCAGCGAAACAGATCTCATCCCGTCGCAACGAGAATGCCAGCAGGAGAGACAGTCGTAGGGGTTACTGCCATCTTGATAATCATCATCGACATCGCTATCATCATTCATTATCATCGACATGACCATGATCATCCATCCCCACCATCATCAGTATCACGCTCATCACGGTCGCGATCATGGCCATCGGACCATGGACCACAGCCAACACAAAATAATAATCTGCTTCCTTATCCGACTGAAGCCCTGCTGAAGACCCCAGCTCTGAGGCTCCTGGCTCCGCCGAAGGTGAGGCCGCAAACGATGATGAAGCTAACAACGCTGGTTGCAAGTATCACCTCAGTGGTCGTCAGAGCTTCTGGGTGCAAGGAAAAATTGCACTCGAGCCGCTGCTGTCGGAAGCAGGCCTACTGCTGGGACTTCGGGAGATGTTCATCACGGCCAAACTTGCCAAAGATTGCCATCGGCATGCCGGAATACAGGTCTTGAACTTGACAAAGCGAAAAGCCTTCAGTAATTAGATCCGCACAGCTGCAGCGTGCTCCATCTGGGCACTCCGGCCCAGGAGAACCAGGAGTACTGCCCGCAGGACCAAACCTGCCATGACACTGGCTGTAGGAACCTCAAGTCTTATTGGGTGGCAGCAGCTACTCGGCAGCAGCTGTAGCACGGCAGCAGCACCTCTTGTCGCAGTCCTGGTGGTGGTCATGGTGGTGTTGCTGTTGCTGGAGTACTGCGGACTTGGAAGTGGACTTGGGTAGTAAGGCCAGGCCTGGGGAAAGGCACCAAGATGTAAACTTGCCGAGTGCGCCAGGACACCAAAAGCTTTCAGCGTCATCTGAATCTGAGAGTGCGCGATGGCCAGGTGCATCAGCCTTGGCAACCATAGTAGTAGAACCATGATACACCAAGCCAGCTTTCGAGAGAAAAGCCTTCCCTACCAGATGCCTTCTTCTGCATAGGCGGGTGCATTTTCGGACATGGGGGTGAAACAACACTCAAGGTTCCCGGCCCCTGTCTTCGAAAGGGGGGGCACAAGCTTCCTCTTCCTCCAGACGGCAAGAACCGGAATGAGCCCTTCCTTGCCAGAGTTCGGCTGCTCCAGCCTGGCATGGCTCTTAAGCGTCCAGCTCGGACCTGCTCCGCAAAGCGCAAAATGTTTGTGTGGCGAACAAGGCCGCTGCTAGCCTTCGTCTCTAAAGCCAAACGAGTTGTTCCAGCGTTCAACGCAACAGCTACAGATGCAGCTAATTATGGTTGGCCCTCTGGCGCCAGCAAGGAACGAGCCTCTCCCTCGCCAGAGTTCGGCCGCTCCTGCAGCCTGGCATCCTGCTTGGACCTGCTCTCGAAGCAGCACTACATGCAAGAGGAAACCGACGGCAGACAGCGAGCAGAGCGCAATGTTGTGTGCCGTGACGATCTCGTCCGCGAAGTCTGGGCTGAAGTGGGCCTGGTACACCACGGCCACCCAGGCTACCAGAAACGCTGCCAAACGCAGCAGGGCTAGCTGCCGAAGCAGCGATGGAGAGAGGAAGGTGGTGACGTTCAGCACGAGGTTGAAGGGCACGTAGATGACGAAGCTCACGAGGCACCTGATCAATCCGGCACCGCGACCGAGCCCGGTCCAGCCAGCTTCGTGGAGCAAACCGGTTTCTTGGCGGCACAAGCGCCTTGCGGGCCACCTATATTGAGTCGGACCCAGCGCATAGCTTCCTGCTGACCAGATCATGAGATCACACGCATACTCAAAGCTTGCACTGAAGCTGGTCGTGTCGGTCTGCACAAGCGCAGACATTCCGGGTGGGCTTGCATGGCGGCGACGATGGCGGCCGCTGCGAGGTGCGGGTCTGCCGAGGAGCCCCCCTGTATGGCTTTCAGGCCTTTCAGCTGCAGTGCGGCGTCTGCGGGCTGCTCCGCCATCTTGCTTAGCAGCTCGTCCACAGTCTCCTCCTCCTCCTTAGAGCCCTCCTCCATTTCCGAGCCCTCCTCTTTCGACGAGATCCTCTCTGCTTCGAAGTCTTCCTTTACCTCCCATCCCGAAGCATCTTGTTCGCCCTCCGTGTTCGCCTCCGTCGCAGCCCGCAATGCAGGTGTCGCAGCAGCTGCAGAGCGGCAGCACAGCATTCAGTCTGGCAGGACGGCTCTCAGTGCTAGGATTGTAAACGTCCCTTTCAAGCTTGAGAGGGAAGATCTTGCCTGCAGGTGAGGCCCTTCAAAGTCGGCCATGATCTGCCATGGTGGAAAGCCTTTCGACACATCTGCACAAGGACGCTTCGAGCACTTGCATGATTATTTGTGCCTGAAGCCTTTGCCTCCTGGAAACCTCAAACCACAGGCCCGCCCTGCGCATTGAAACCTGTCTCAGGCTCCGGGGAAGCGACCACTGCGTCAGGGATGGCGTGACAAACATCACGCAGGAGACGACTACCTGCGAGCACTCGCAGAACTTCGGGCTCAAGCCGTCCATGCGATTTCATAGGGTTCTGCTTCAACGGCCTCACAGAACAAGCAGCTCCTGAAATAGATGTGACTGTAGTGTTCTGAAGTGTTTTGTTCAGCACTTACCGCCAAAGGGACTTCCTGACTCACCTTCCCAAGGAATGAGGCTGATTGGGTAGCTCTTGACCGCTCGGTAGGAACACAAATTGGCTGTTAGCGGTCGCTGGTTTCGAAGTCATAGTTGTTGCCTTGCGCGGCTCCGGCTCAGAATCCAAACGGTCCATGCAAGCCTAGCTAGGCCCTTGATGCTTCGAGATTGCGGTGAGGAGGGGAAGGAAGAGGTGAAGGCAGGCATGGCAATCGCCCTGGCGATGGCGACGGCGATGGTGTTTGGGACGGCGGTGATGTCGTGACGATGATGACGGTCATGATGACACAATCATGAATAATGTCCACACACTATTGCTCCTGAGGAACATAACAGAGTGTCCCATCACAACTATGCCGAGCTGTGGCGCAGCTGCTTTTGCCAAACGGAAGAAGATCCTGGACCGTTGTAAAACCAGCATGCAACATCCAGAAACCCGAAAACGGGAAAGCTGATCCGTTTAAGCTCCTGAAGCATAAACCTGAAGTCCAGATCATCCAACGCCGAAGGCTTCCAGAACAGCCCGACTTGAACCAGCTCTTCAGGGACAGCCCCTGGCCAACTTAGTCCTCGATTCCGCGAGCCTGCTTGTCAAAGAAAGGGTCGGCGGCATTCGCCCCTGGGGTGCTACAGTTCACCGGCCTGGGGACCACTGGGTGGGCAAGAGCTTATAGGTTGTAGGGTTTGGATTCTAGGGGCTCGGGCCCGGATTAAGGCGATCAAGATCCACCTTAGACTGCTCGGGCGAGGAGGACCTGAACCCTTGGCCGAAACTACTACCTGGAAACGTTGGACGCACCGTTGTCAAACTTAAAGCCCTTAGCCTGGCCAACGCCGAAATCCATCCGAGGTGCTGATGGCTTTCTGAGGTCCCCACAGATGATTCCGGCTGATGAAGGTCTGTATCCGCAGCTCTGATGAAAAGCCTCGGAGTCCGGGGCGGGGAGCGACCAATGAGTCGGAAAGGGCCTTGTCGGACGGATCAGAACGGCAGGTGCTGAGCTGAAATCAATCCAGCCCAAGCTCCGGAGTCACAGCGATCCATCAATGAATGATAGCTGGAAGAACTTCATATTCAAAAGTGAAACCATCAAAGCCACGTGTTAATTACTGCAGGGCCCCGCTCCTTGCCTCGGACCTTTCCCATGGCAATGAGCCGCTTTCGTTCTTCACAAGGATAGACAAGTCAAAAAGGACCTCAAGCCTCACACCCAGAAAGCCAAATTCTGAAGCCACCATCACCCCGACCTTTCCCTGCAACGGGTAGCCTCAGGTTGTATGTCAGGCATCACGGCTGAACTCTAGGCTACAAGGTCCTCGAACCCAACAACAAGGCCCGCGAAAGGCGAGGCCCACGCAATCCATGCCACGGCTGCACTCCTCCAGGGGAAAGTCCTTGCCGACCTCGGTGAGAATGGAAATGAAGTGCCAATTCTAAGGCTAACGGTCGTGGGTTTCGTGCTTATGGAGAGTTTCGAGTGCAACCAATCGGGTTCAGAAGCCTTCGCCCCATTCCCCCCAAGCTGCAAAGTCCGCCGTTGAAGAGCTGACGAGGCTGCAACTCGACAGCCTGGCACCTCTCAGCTTTAACTAGCCCCCAAACGATGCAAAGACAGAACTGGGTCTCTTGGGCCGTGGCGTGTGTCGTCGTCTGAAACACGCAGGACTCCCATAAATAGGAGAGGACTACAATCACCGTGAGCCGGGTGATCCTGTCATGCGACGACAAGACTACACCAGAAGAAAGAAGGCTCACACAGTGGGGACCACGCAAACTTTCGATGTCAGGCCCATGACTCATGACGATCTTCATGCAGGCACTCTAGCTTTGTCTCTCTCAGGCTTCTGTAGAGTTTTCGTTTAGGATTCACGTTTAGGGCTTCGGGCACAAGGCCTCGGATCATCCAAGCTATGCTCGAAGCAAGAACCAAAGCAGCCAGAAAACGACGGCCAGGAGGCAACCCCTTTTACGGACTGCGCAATAAGCTTGTCCAAGCCCGAAGCAGTGCCCAACTCTTGAAAGGAAGGGATTGGACATAGGAGCCAATTTAGAGCCGAGTGCTTCGGGCTTCAGGTTTAGGGTTCAGGGTTTGAAGCTGTCGCCACCCGAAGCCTCACAGCCGAGGCTGCAGAAACCCGTAAGACCGTACCCTGAGCCCCTAGGCACAAGCAAAAGCCTGAACCCTAAACCCCTAAACCCTAAACCCCTAAACCCCTAAACCCTAACCCTAAACCCCTAAACCCCTAAACCCGAAAAAACGTCGGTGGGGCATCATGGCTTCCCATCTAAGCGCTTTGCCATCGGACCTCAGGTGCACTGGGCTCTTGTTACGCGATTTAGGTTCAGTTATCGCAATAGGGATCTTTAGTAAATAATATGGCAATATGTTTTCTTCAAAATGGTAACTTAAACCAATCATAATGGGGGTCTATGGTGATTAATGTGGTTTCTTCATTATGGTAGCTTCACTAAACAAAATAGGGATCTATGGTGAAAAATGTGGTTTCTTTATTTTATGGTAGCTTGAATCTATGGTGAATAATGTGGCTTCTTTACTATGGTCGCTTGAAAAATTAGTCATAATAGGGATCTACGGGGAAGAATGTGGTTTCTTTATAATACAGTAATTAAATTAATCACACTAAGGATCTATGGTAAATAATATGGTTTCTTTATTGCGGTAATGGGGATCTATAAGTTAATACCCCTCAGCAAGAGCCCAGCTTAGGTTCACTGCTTGGGGCTTGGAGGTGGAGTTGCGCATGCTGTTGTTATGGTGGTGGCATAGGGCTTCGGGTTTGGAGTTTAGGGTTTAGGGTTTAGGGTTTAGGGTTTAGGGTTTAGGGTTTAGGGTGGCGGTGGCGGTGGTGGTGGTGGTGGTGGTGGTGGTGTAGGTGGTGTAGGTGGTGTAGGTGGTGTAGGTGGTGGTGGTGGTGGTGGTGGTGGTGGTGGCGGCGGTGGCGGTGGTGGTGGTGGTGGTGGGGCATTCCGGTAGTGACGTGATGTCCCGGAACTGAACCTCAACACCAAAACCCTGAACAACCTATGTCATAGTATATTTATAGTATCTGGTCTATTTTATAGTACTTTATAGTATCTTCTAGTATCATAAAGTATCTTATAGTATCTTCAAGTATCTTAAATTATACGGAAAATAAAGCCGCAAGGCACGCAATCACGGCAACATATGCCCGGGCCCGACCCGAGGCCTTCAGAAGACCGGAACCCGACCCAGGGACTCTCAGCGAGGCACACTTCGTTGACTTCAATGTCGAAGAAGTATAGCCGCTTCTCACGGATGGCAAACCTCAAGAGCTCGAAGTTGAGAGCTTTGTTAGTTGGCGCCCTCTTCTCAGAATAATGCCGGTCACCCTTCTCTCACTGACCTTCTGAGGCCGCCCAGGAAACTTTTTCGTTTGAGGAGCCGATCTCTCAACAAGGTCTCGTCGCTATGGCTGTCTCATACACAAACTGTATACATATATATATATGTATGTATATACACATATATATATATACATATACATACATGATATACTACATAACCTGGGGCACGGGCACTCCGGGAAAGAGCACCGGAAGCAGCGCAAAACGCTTCATGACGATCTCCACTAAGGCCCAGCTCACGCCTCGGACTTTGAGCTTTAGGGCTTTCGGTATAGGGCTTTCTGGGGTTTAGGGCTTAGGTCTTGCGGCTTAGACGGGTTTAGGGCATAGGGTTTGGGGCTTGGATTTTTTTTAATGCAGAGGGCTTTAACTCCAACTCTCGCCAACCCAGCCTGTGTTTCAGGCATCCAAAAGACTCCCAGTTGGGGGCTTGGGGGCTTGGGGGGCTTGGGGTTTAGGGTTTGGGGGTTCTTCTTTGGGATTTGAAGCCGTTTAGCGTCCGGCGCATTTTGGGACGCAGCGGGCTCCAGAACCCTGCACAGAAGACGGCCACCCATAAAGGCTCGCACATTCTGGCATGCACGTCGAACAAAGCCGAAGCGTAGAGGCACCGGAATCTTCCTCATGGCTGTACCCGAGAGCGCCCCGATGTGAAGCAGGCAACAAGTTCCTTCTCGGTGCTTCGCAGTACTGCTCGTATTCTTGATGACGAAGCCGAGCAACGGCTTCCCTCAGCAATCCGGGCCGCTGGCTCATGAGAATTGCAAGGACGAACATGATGGCCTGGTACTCCAGGGAGCTAAACCTGCCAGATCAAGCATAAACCAAAGTTCACCTTAGAAACAGACGGAGACTGGCACGACAGTCAAAAGCGAAGCGTGCAGAAGATCTGAGACGTGTTTGGATTCTACGCAGCTGTGCCAGCAACGGATCCAGCCATGGCAAGACACCGACGAAACGGTCGCCACATGGCTCCCTCATCCCAGGACGAGCCCAGGGGCCCTCAGAGCACTAAGACCCAGAAGCCTAGAAGCCTCTGTAAGCCCAGCTTCGGCCTCGTGAGACCATTGGAGTCTCCAACAATGATGGCCATGGCCTGCGATGCCGGGTTTAGGGCTTGGGGCTTAGGGCTTCGGTTTATGGTTTCGGGTTTAGGGTTTAGGGCTTGGGGCTTTGGGTTTATGGTTGCGGGTTTGAGGTTTAGGGTTTGTCGGTTTATTGAGGGTTCCTCTCCAACTGCTGAGTCGCAGCCGAACTTCCCATACGGGAGGAGCCGAGGTGACGGTTGGGGCGACGTCGGGTTTAGGGCTTAGGGTTGAAAGAGGGCACGAGCCCTGAAACGCCACAGCCCTGCACCCTGTAACCCTGAAGCCCTACGCCTCTCCGACGCGCCCTAAAGCACCCTGAAACCCGAAGCCGCAAAGGTGATCTTATCATGGGGTTCTGCCTAGAACGAACTCTGTCATTCACTGAGCCCCCGCAACTACCTCAACCTCAAATCCAAGCAAAATTATCATACGGCATACCATAGTAGACGGTCAGAACTGTTTATGTAGTGAACACGACAGGGAATCTTTCTCCTAAAGCCCCATGAAGACTCTAGACTCGTCATCCCATGAACATCCCATATCTGACACCTCTCCCATGTAGCCTCCCCCGTCAACAATCCCATAAAAGACCCCTAAGGCTAAAGCGCAAGGTCTTGACCCAGAACTCTCAAACAAAGGCCGCACGGAAGGACCCCCGAAACCCTGATCTCCCAACCCCGCAAAACCCGAAAGAGCAAGAGATCCCTGCCTGACTTGGCCGCGCGCCCTCGTCTCTACGAACTACACTGTTCAAAGCACAGCTGCGGAACAGTGGGGGCAACGACTGTAAGCTTCCCATGGATGATTCGCCCACGGGAACTCAGCCCAGAAACACCAAGTCTGCAAGCCGGTTGAGGTTGTCACAACAAAAAAGATCCCTTAACCCTTTAACACAGCATTCAAAACAAAGGCAACCTGGAATGACGAAGCCGCCAAGAGGGACCCATGAGTTGGGAGTTGGGACCGGCCCCCTTCCCCCACACTTCCAGCTTTCTCCAACTCATCCATCTCCGACCCATGGAAGCGCGAGGCCGAGTTTAGCCAACAGCGCCCAGGCGTTTGCAAAGCCAATGCGGGGACATCGGCGCGTTAGCGAAGGAAGCGATGAATGCCGACGGAGCCTTTTTGCATGAAACCTAAACACACTACGAGCTGAAGGAGAGGACCATGGTCCAAGGCAAGATGCATCCGCAATTCTCTAACCCCACAAAACCCCTCAATCCTAATGAAACCCTGTGAGATGTCCCTACTGGTCCCTTAGGCTACGCAGTCGGGATTCACGGCATCCATGGAATCATTGCATGAGGAGCACTTTGGCTCCCTGGATGGACCCGCCGGGCACGGGACAGGCCAACTTTGGACACACCGAAACCGTAACAGCCAAACCTTACGTTCAGGGACCTTCTCTTTGAAACTAACCAACCTGCTGAAAACCCAAACTGCGAAACTTCCGCTCCCTAATCTCTGATCTTGAAGGCTGAGAGGCTCGAAGGCACGCTACCGACCGGCAGTAGGCGGCAGGAACATCGGCCTCAGAGCCGAGCATGGATGCATGGATATTGCAGAAAGAGAAGAAATAGAAAGAGACGAGAACGAGAGAGAGAGAGAGAGA